ATTTGTTACTGGTTAAGGGCCAAGCAGAAGAGGGGTAGTGCTGCATGCATGAGGGAATTAACAAGAGAGTGGGGATCGAGGAATAAACTCTTGTACAATTTACATGACCAATGCAAGAGACATGTAATTCACTAGTAACCTTTATATCTTTTTGTTACAGTAAATTTTTTCTTCCTCAACTAGGATTTAGAGCACATGCAAGTTTTTCACCCAACTATTTATATCGGAAAAGCATTAAAACTACATCAAATGAGTGCTGATTTCAGTTGTTTGTTTTTTAATCAAAAGAATCCTTCGCTCAGGCTAGTTACTCCAAAGGTGGAACTTTGCCTAAAAGTTTTTTAGTACATATACAATTCTGGCACACACACACACACACACAAAAAGGTGTGCATGCATGCGCAATACATAAAGCAAAAAATTGAACTTAGGTGTAAACAGCGAACAGTCAACTGATATGGTGGATAGTTCTGGACTTATTATAAACAGCAGTTTTTATTTATTTTTTATTATTCTTCACACCTTTTGTTATGTCTAAAATTTCAAAAGTTTAAACAATAAATTCCAATAATTTAATATGATCGAGGACGGGATACATCCTATCATATTGGAGGATCATCAAGAAAATTAAAAAAATTAAAGAATACCTTATTTGGCTATCTAACTTATTCGACACGTGAGAAAGTTATTTCTTGATGGGAAAAAGAAAACTATCTAACTGATTTGATATACTAATTAAGGATCATAATTCTTTTCCAGATTCCTTATCATTTGATCCACCAGGCTCCTATTATATCATATTGAGCCAATGTAGGTATCCATTTATTTAACTCATACTTATTGTAAAAATTTAATTGTATTCCTTAATAAATCATAAAATTTAATTGTATTCCTTAATAAATCACATAATTTATCCAATAATTAAATAATATAATATAATTGATAATTAAATATATAGTCCATTATAGCATGGACCCAACCTTCTTCAGTGGCCTCGTTTCTCTCGTTTGTGGTGGAGAAACCTATTCATTTTGGTTTTATAAGGTACCTATTGGCTTCTTGATCCATCTAAACCAAAAGGAACATTCCAATAAAAATAAAAACCCATTCAGGTTTTAACTATTCTCAACCCTGTGATCCCCACAATCTATATATTAAGTTTCGGGTACTTATTTTTAATTGAACTAACTTTAGTTCATAGAAGGAGCTCATGATCATTTCAAAGAATTAGGCAATCAAATAAGATAACTTCATTATCTGCCAAAAAATAATAATAATAAGATAACTTTATTGAACAGAGACAGTTTTTTTTTTTTTTCCTTGTTCATCTATGGTTGGAAATGAGTAAAGTGTTGCAAGTTACTTAAGTTCGATTTGTTAATAACTTAATAGTTCAAAATTAGAGTAAATTGAGCTAAATATTTGACTTATTTACCAAACTCAAACAATTCGCCAGTTAAGAATGAATTAAGTTTGACTTAAGATAATAAACTTATATATTTTCTTAACAAACTAAACTTATTTTCGTCAAATGAAATTTAAATTTAACTGAAGCTTACTTCACTTCTAATTAAATTTTTACTCTGAAACAAGCGAGTATAAGAATTTGTGGATACAACTTAGTTAATTAGTTAATTTGTGGATAAAGTAAAGCTAGCTCAATGTAGCATGTGGTGTAAACGGCAAAATAAAATTAATCAACGTCTTCTTTGCTATCATGAGTGGGTACCTAACCACTAATAAGATCACACATTTTAAAAGTAACGTTAGTGTCTCTTTTTAATTGGTTGTCTGACCAATCAAAAAGACACATTAGCAATTTAGAACATATGTGGGACAAACTGTGCACGAGGATTTGCATTGACCCGATAGTGGAAAATCAGATAAGCCTCGCTTTCACACCAACTATTCTTACATCTATAAATCTATATACATGTATTTAATTACACATAAGAATAAAGCTGCCATTAAAGCACAACATTTACGACCCCCTTTCATCAACTTGAAGATCAACAAAGAAGGGTCTACTAAGGTGCTTGTAGCCAACTGTGTTACACTTGTGAACATAGGCTCCATTTGACCTCAAAAGGACCCTGCTTAAATTATTTTTTCTATTAAACTCGCAAAAGCAATAATGTTAATTTGCATAGTTGTGACTCTAAGAATTGTATAAAAACATTATTCAACGAAGAACTAGAAACAAGAAACTATAGTAAATGGGGAGGTAGATCATCTCAAAAATGAACACTATATCATCTGTATATGCTGACTCAAGAAATTCTAGAAACAAATAGTGAAAAAAACGATTTTCTGAAGACTGAGAACTTTGCAGAGAACCAAACACTTCAAGTTTTTTTTTTTTTGGAGAGTCTCTTCATGATTAAGGCTTTAAATTTCTCCCCAAAATGGTACTAGAGAGAATCGGACACATCATTTCATCTTCAACTGCTCAACTCTCATGCGTCAACTGAACTATCATTATTTGGTCACTACAAGCTTGTTATACCTGTCTGCAACGTTATTATACTAGACTAGTACTAACATACATAAAACTCTATTTTCCACCCTATATAGGAAAGCTAATGGAATTATTGCAATCCTTCTATGACTACTAGGTGTCATTAGTGATATCTAATGGATAAGCCTAATAGTCAATTTCTGCTGGCTCTTTTGGTATTAAATTACGGTCCTATAGTGCAATTGTTAAATTACTATATGCCCTCTACTTCCTGGAGGGAAGGTATGAAATTGAAGTGTAATGGCTTAAATATGTTTAGAGTCCTTTTAAACATTTCAGTCACTCGTTTTTAAAACTTTATAAATGAATATATAGGTGTAGTCCTATGATATTGTTGAAGAACGAACTCGAGATGCAATTGGGGCATTGTATTGCATGGGAGTGCTGATGCATTCTTTGCCTTTGTGGCAAAATGATGAGAATGCAAGTAGAGACTTTTCGCAATGATATTTTGTCATAGTTGAATGGTTAATCATGTCAAAAAAGTTCAATAGCACGACATTAAGGCTGTCTAAAAATGGTTAAATAGTCTTATTGTTAATTTAATGATTATGGGGTGTAATAAAATGTGCATTTTATAAAATTTCTGGTTTATACTTTATACGAAGTTTATTCATGGAAAATTTGATGCTGGAAACGACATGAGATACTTTCTGTACGAAGTTGGCGTGCATATATTTTAAGATGGAGAACAAAAGTGGCATGTTGTGTGCTCATGTTCCTACGATATGGACAAGGGATATGTTCTGTGCTTTACTGTCCTATGGAATAGCAGAAAGAATCAGAAGTTCTCATAATAGTAATGTTAGTTATGCACAAATATTTTCTCACACAACTCATCATCAGCCATTTACTTTCTTTCTCTCTCTCTCTCTCTCTAGATCTTCTTCCTTTTTCTTATTCACAATCCATGGTCCCTTTTGTTATGTGACATATGTGACTTGCACAGCTACACTTTATATGCAAGTATCCTTTCCGTTCTCATTATTCGGTGTTTCATGTTCTTAGGTTCTCAGCCACGAGGCCTCGTGGTTGTCATGAGATGCAGTCTATAATTTTCTTTTGAAGAACCGAATGCCGTGTGGAGAAACAAAAAGACATTAGCTGTAACATTACAAAAAGGTCCCACCGAGATTTGAACTCGGGTTACTGGATTCAGAGTCCAATGTCCTGACCACTAGACCATGGGACCCTGCTGGTCATTTTATGGACAATATTTTTATAGTTAATATTTTTTAGTGAATATTGCATTTTATATAATAACTATCACTCTTTCATAAATTAAAATAAATGAAAGCGTAAATTTACAATATTCAAAATTATCATAAATTAAAAAAATAACTACTTGTTATAACATAAATGAAAGCGTAAATTTACAATGACTATATTATAAAGGAATGTATGTGAATATATGGATATATAAATGTAAATAATATCATACAACAAAATTATGTAAGTAATATTTCTCTAAACAAAATGGGGTGAACAATATACCAAAAAGTGACCCTCTTATTACAAAATTTAGATTAATAGAAACATTATCAGTTTTGTAAGGAAACAAAAAATCATCATAATGTTTTATTAATTAAATTTAAATGCATTTTCAGGCTAGTAAAACTTTATACTTACATTTAATGATGTGTTACCACAATAAAATGTAAACAAAAATCAATTTAATATTTATTATTGTGTACCAAAATCAAACTTATGATCTTTACTGTGTTTATTATAATATTTATTATTCATATTTAACGAGACAAAAGCCCAATACAAAATTAAAATAACAAGTTTATCCTCCCATTCTAATTGTAATTAAAGCAAAATATTGGACATCTAACATCGAATTGAAAATCTCCGTACACTTTTTTCTTGGATAATAAGACTCTAGAAACTATATTATTAACATTTTTTAGTGTATCTTGCATAGTTAGTTTCGGGTCAATAAGGACCATAACAAAATTAAACCTAACAAGCTTCAATGACCAGCCCAGGTAAACTTGCAAACTTAACATCTTTTTGAGGTGCTAACTTGAGAAAATAATTCTATTAAACCATTTCGATGAAGTTCTTTATTTTATGGTTGTTAAGATGTTCTAGTTGGACTCGTGCTATGGAGAACACCTTGGGCCTGTAATAAAAGCCAATGTACAGAGTTATTTCCTCAGATACGGGGTACAAAGCCAACTTCCAAATCGAACAGTTTCAACAAGTTAACACTAGTTAGTATTTAATCAACCGATGGATTATTATACCTCGAGGATTTGAAGAATTTAAACAATTAAATGGTTCTCGAAAGCCATAAGTCCAACCCTGCGGCATCACCGGAGACCTTACATTCTCTTCGTCTCATTATAACATAGTAGCATATTCCTCCATATAAAACCAAAAAGAATAAAACTAAAAATCATGCCATACCAGTATCATAAATGTATGCACATACATACATAACTTCAACAGAAAGTTGACTTTCAAAAATGCCAAACCAAAATCACCATCCCCCCCAAACCTCTCGGATAGTCAAATATAATTATCATATCCTTCCAACGTTGCATTTAAAATTAAAAGAAACAAAATAGAGCGAGAAAGAATCGAAAGGGAAAAAGATACTATCTATATTATTTACAATGAGAACAACAATTTCTATGTTGCTGTCTATATGCTACTGCTCTCTGCAACCTATACAAATGTCAAAGACTAAACCAAAATTCCAAGGTATACGAATGAATAATCTCACTCTAACTATAAAGACAATTCACATAAACTTCATGTCAAGTGTCAACAGAGGTCATGTTAGAAAATTTTCTGCTTACTGTTTCTTCTGCTGCCACCAAAAAAGAACCTACAATGACGCCTGCTCCAGGGGAAAAAATTACCAATCCAAAAAATTAAAATTATATCTGTAAGGATGTATGTCTAATCACATCATAAACAAGTATTTTAAATCATCTACTGTAAGGCGACTTTGACGACCACCAGTTCCATCCTCGCCAAATGCAGATGAAACCATCTTTCGCTTCTTTTGCTGCAAGTGTACAGAAAAGAATAGATTTCCTGGCGTGAGCAACCATCAATATTGCATAGATACGAGTACTACACAGATAAATATTTTAGAAAATCAGGAACACATGTACAAATGTGTAATCAACAGAGAAGCAAGATAACCCAATGCCATGTAACTTTACGTACGGAAGCATCACTGAAAGGTAAACACTAGGAATATATTGTGCACCACACAAAGCTACACGTTTTGGAATGAAGTTACAAGTATAATTGGTTGAGTTCCATATTCTCCGTTAATTACTAGATTGTGTTCAGGATAATTGCAATTTATTTTTTTATCAATAAATTATATATATGAACAAATTTGATAGAAACGAATCATCTTCAACCACAAAATGTTACTTAAAAAAAAAAATTGTAAATTTTGCACCAGAAAAAATGTACATAATTTGTCCCTCAATAAATCATAGAGTAATGGAGTTAATAAACCAGTGATTGTCTTTATAACCATACCACCAGTCCACCATGCAGCCGATAAGAGTTCCATTGATTGAGAGTCCTTTCTATTTTCCTACTTAAATAAGTGTACACATTAAATCTGTTGAACTCAAAAGATGTGCCCAAGTACAGCACTCCCATCCAAGAATGAGTGTTATGCATAAAACCATACTACCATAAACCAATTATTCAGCAAACAACCCAATAAATAAAGGGAACCAGAGAAGGCTAAACAGAAAAATATTTCAAGCAGTTCAACCCAAAAGTCACCAAGTCACTGTATGAACTCATTGTGATCTAAGCATTTTGATAATATGCCATTGTCCAGTGAGTGTTCATGTATTCCAATCTCCTTCCAAGAACATCATTTTTGTCATTAAATTGTCCCTCAAAATAATGGTTTTAAGTCAATAGACCAACCATATAAAATTTTCAAATTATCTGCTACTATTAAGAGTGTCACCCTATTAACTACAACAATATAAAACCCACTTCCTCGACAAAAATGTAAAAAGAAGCTTTACAGGGCACAAAAAAATACCTGCAGAGCTAAAATACGGTCTTCAACTGTATCTCTCACAGTTAACCGCAAAACTGTAACAGGACGTGTCTGCCCAATTCGATGCGCTCTGTCTATTGCTTGATCTTCAGTTGTAGGATTCCACCATAGATCTAGCATAAGAACATGGCAGGCTGCCACCATGTTCAGACCAAGACTGGCAGCCTTCAAAGACATTATCATAACTGATACCTGCAAGACAACAGATCAAACTTTACAAATATTTTGAAGAAAGCAGAAATAGAAACAGATATTATAACTTAACGTAACTCACTCTCAATATTCACATAACAACAAAAACCAAACCCTTTTCCGACTAGGTGGGGTTGGCAATCACTCGGAATATTCATGACATGGGAAATCTAGAACTTAAGTTATTGGTATTAACTTCTATGACTTTACGAACCTCAGGGCGTGTGTTAAAATCTTTAACAGCTTTATCTCTTGCAATGACTGACATTGTTCCATCAAGTCTTCTATACTGAATTGAAGAATTCTTAAGACACACTTCAAGCAAATCTAGCATCCTGGTCCACTGAGAAAACACTATAGCTTTCTCCCCTACAGCACCAACTGCATCATTAGAGCTTCTCTCCACAAACACACTTTGATTCTCAGGACAATCATCAAAGGATTTCCCATTGTCAGCATTACAGGAGCTCCCATGGCATTCAGTACTTCCCCCCAAAAAGCTCTGCACAGAATTTTTTTTGGAAATATGGCATTGTGGTTTAGACAGTGAGAGCAACACCTCAAGTGCAGCCTTAATTTTTGAAGAATCAGATGGCTGAGCCTGAGAACATGGCTCAGATTCCACCACTTCAGAACTAGAGTAACCAGGCAAATTATCACAAGCATCGTCCGAAAGAGAACTGTTCAGCGTGGCTTTGGAAAACACTGAAGACATGCTTAGTCGAGTTTTGCAATTTGATACAGGGCACTGATTGTCATCACCAGTACGATGTTCGCAAATGCACTGATTACAGAAAACGTGACCACAGACTGAAACAACAGCATCTTCAGGAGGATCCTGAATGGAAATTAAGTGACAAGAATGTTAGAGAGAGATGTCAAGGAGGGGAAATATACTACGCAATATGATCAATGCTGATGATATGGTAATTATAGAATATAATTTCACTACTCTCAAGTCCACATCAGCTCCTGTTAAGCAAGAGGGTTAAAAAATAAATCCCAATCAACCTTCTACCTATCCTGGCAAACACCAAAAAGCAAAAACAAGTCTGTCTCCCTCACTTTTGGTCCACCCTCTAGTTTTCCACCACCCTTTTCAATTATTCCCACTCAAAGTAAATTTGCAAGAGTAGTAGTGTAGCCACAGTATTAGAAGAAACAGAAGAACAGCTAAGGTATTGATTTCTGAATAATTAGTGGAATATTGTGTTCTATCAAAAGCATTTTTCTCAACATAAAAATACCCATGCACACACGTGATGTCAACTGAATGCATATTAATTTACAAATAATAAAATATGGTCAAACATACATTACAGATACCACAGAGGGCCAAGGAAGCCTCTAAAAATTTTAAAAGCGATAATCGTTTTTCCTGAGGAAGCTTCTTTGCCATCTCAACTGAAGATTTCCAGAGAGTTTTAGAATTGTAATGCTTGACAAGCAGAGGGTGATCACAAGCTTGTCTAAGGCGCAGAAGCATCAATAAAATGTTGACATAGTTTTGCTTCACCGTTCCAGCATCAGCATATTCCTGTGACATGCATGCCAAAAAAGGACTTTAATACTACCAGGAGCAATCATCTTGATTTGGGATGGAATAAAACGCACAACCACATAAATAAATATAGAGATTTTGATTGTCCAAATCCTTCAAAACCTTTCTAATAATGAGTAAGGACACAAGACCATACCTGAAACTGTGCACGTGAATCAGCCTCTAGTCTGGAATAGAAATCACGTTCCTCCTGTGAAAAATCCACTTTTTTCAACTCTACAAATTTAGGTGGCAAGGAAATAATAGGTTCCCCATCAAGAAGTGTGCCTACAGAAAATGAACACCATTGCATGGTTAAAAACAAATTAAAACCTAATGCAAATGACAATCATTTAATTGAATGAACTCATGTATAATGAAATTGCTCAGAGTGAAATACTATTCAAACCCGTTCCCAATATGATTCCTACCACACAGATGGAGTATAGAATATAAAATTAAAGAGTGAATGATATTGGATTACAAAATGGACTATACTATTGGACATATAGGACAAACTAAGATAATAACTAACCTACTGAAATGATGATGTGAAATTCTTGCATGTAAATCTTACCTTTAGTCCGACGTAACATTATCGTTTTTAAGACAGCTTGTAGCTTTCTATAACCTTTTGATGGATTTCTGTTGATTGGAGTCTTAATTGTAGAACAAAATGATGTGTACACAGCATAAGGGTCATATCTTAGAAATCTAAAGTAGCTGTAGAGATCATCAATTGCATTTTGGATCGGAGTCCCCGACAGGCACCATCTACGCTTAGCTCGAAGACCCCAACAGGCTCTTGCAACTTGAGTTCTGTGATTCTTTATACTCTGGGCCTCATCCAGTACAACTCTAAACCAAGCCACCTTTGCAAGAGGACGAGCAACGGCCTCAAGCACTACGTTGTCATTTCCCTTCTTTCTACTTCTACTAGAACTGGAAGGGCATTTCCTTTTCCTACTTGGTACAGTATGATCTTCATAAATTCCTTTTTCACCATCATCTTTGTCAACCAGAGGCTGCTTAGGGACCTCCATGCCGACAATTGCATAAGTCGTCAGAACAACATCATACTTGGCAAGCTCATAAGGATCTTTTGTTCGATTGCTTCCATGGTACACTAGCACAGAGAGATTTGCTTTGCAGGTTACCTTATTATGCAACTCATCAGCCCATTGTCGCAGGACACTAGTTGGACAAACAATAAGGGTTCCAGCAGATGGCCTTCCCTTTGCATGCACCAACAAATTCAAGCTCTTGATTGGATTTTTACTAGACAAGTCCTGGCACATACTAGATTCTTTCTTCACTCCACCATTCTCAGGAAGCAGGTCATCATCCGCATCCAAATTCAAAGTTTCTAATTCACTTTTTTGAATATTGTTGCATGTATTAAGCAACTGAGGTCTTTCCTTTAATATTAAAGCAATGGTCGACACTGTTTTTCCAAGACCCTACAAGAGAATAATTTTCAAATCAATTAAGTCACAAGGAAATCACATACTTGTTGACATCGCAGATTAAAAGGGCAGGGCACTGACCTGATCATCTGCAAGAATTCCTCCGGAGCAGTATAAACTCGATGTTTCCTTCTGAACCATCCATGATAAAGCAATTCTCTGACCAAAAAAAACGCTATTAGTTGGATGAGCAGGTAATGAAGACATCTCAAAAGGAAGAATTGGGTTGAACTTTATAAAGAAAAATGACCGAATCAGGAGTGGAGTCAATAACACATCACACCACTTTACAGGATATTTAAAATGAAAGAAAATATCTGATGCAACAATATACTACCGTGGGGAAAAAACACCTTTGCTTGTCAGATAAAAGAATGGTTGAAATTTGGAATGAAATGATAATACACAAAGGAAAAATCTTTAAGCTAATGCCACCTTCCTACTTCCCTGTATTCAAAAACAAGGGTGTGCTAAAGCTAGCAGAAGTCACAACCAACTGAAGTCCAAAACAGTTCACTAATTATTAATACAATTTATTCATTCATTTACAAGATAAATCATTAAAATGTTCCTTTTTCTGTTTGACTAGCATATTCCAGACCCAGACACCAAGACCCTCATCCAGTTTGAGATTTGCTCTACAAGTAATATAAACCATTAAAAAGGCCCTCACCTAACACCTTAAGGTTTTGGGTTGAAATGGTTCTTTTCATGGTATCAGAACTTCAGTGACCACGAGGTCACGAGTTCAATTCTCACCGCCCACACTTTCTAGTGGAATTAAATAAACACCAAAAATTGGACCTGTGTAATATCCACGCTTCAAGCCCAAAGGCTTTGGGTGAGGGGTGTGTTAGAGAATGATATAAACCATTAAAAAGACCCTCACCTTAACACCTATAATAGCATTTTTAAAAGGAGAGAAAACATCAAAGAAATTGAAAGATCGAGCTAGCTAAGTAACCTGATGTCGTAAAAGAGGAACTGCCAGAAGTCCATCAGGTGGACTAACTTCTGACTTTGGCTGAGATAGATCCTGCAATGAATAGAAGTTAGTTCTCTTCAGTCTCAGACAGAGAGGACATTATGAACAAGTATATTACAATATGTCAAACATGGAAAAAGCTGAAAATATAGGCAAGAAAAAATAGCAATTACAACACCGTTCAAATTTTAAGACCCCAAACCCTACCCCAATAAAGGCCGTATCTTATGGAGAGGCCATATAAACAATTATATCCCAAAGCAAATGAGAAAACAATATTTCAAATCATTCATGCATTTCGTTCTCCATCAAATTTAATCAACCTACATTCCGCCAATAACTGTTTGAAATCATGACTGACACAAAAAGGGGGAACAAGGTATGTGCATGCACAAAAAATACTCCTACAACAGCCAATATAAAAGTGCCAACCTGCAATGCAGCTCGTAATATGTATTGCTCATCACGTGCCTTTGGCCTTGTGCCTCCCCCCATATAAGGCCGCGTATAACCACATCTAGAAGTCTGTGACATATTAAGGGAATTCCCAAGTTCTGCAGACCGACGCATTAGTGCAGGATGACTGATGTCTTCGATAATACAAACATCAGAGTCATCCTCAACATTGGATCTCTCACTACTTCCTTTTGAAAGTTGTGAATCAATACTATGTTGAATTGATTTGCCCTCTCCTTCACTCGTAACACAATTAAACTGCTTCTCACAAGCAATTGACGCCTGGGCATCGGATAAAGATTTGTCTACGGATTTTAAATTTGAATTTGCCATGTTTCCTAGAAATTTATCAGCAGTTCCATCCATAATATCTTGATAATAATTGGATTTCTCAGTCGCTATAACTGTATCACTATCCTCACGCTTGAAAAAATCATAACTCTGACATCCAACAGAACGGAAAATACCAGGTAATTGTTTCACATCTTGACCTGCATTGAGCTCAGCATCATCACTGTGAAAAGAATTTTGGTAAGGCATAATCAGTTCACCTCTTTCAGCTTTGAGATGTAATGATTGGCCTTCACTTGAAATATATGAAGCGCAAGTTGACAGTTCCACTGATGATTTGTCTTCTAAGAGAACATTACCAGGAAAAAAAGAAGGATATTTACTATCTTCTAACATGAATTGACCATCTTGAAAAGAAATCCCACCAGTAATGCTGGAATGCATGCCACTACTCACATGTGCTGTATTAGCAAAGAACTCCATTTTTGCCAGCTTCATGTTCCTCGTCATTTCTTCATTTTTAAATATTTGAGGATAAACACCGTTAGGCAAACAACCAGAGGTGTCAACAACAACAGATCTATCATCTGTACCCTGGTAACAGTCCAACGATGGATTGTATTCACTAAAATCACTAGGAACATTGGAACCTTGACAAATAGAAGAATCAGTTGAAGTTGCAACGTGCAAAGGTATATCAGTATCCACAAATGACATTTGAAAAGATGTACACGAGTCATTCTCCTGTTGCCCAGAAACTCCAACAATGTCTTTAAAAAAAGTTCCATAGTCTTCAAAATTTACATCAACATTCTCAACTATAGAGCTGTGTGAAGCATCTGCAAGCAGAAAAATGAATCAGACTGCTATCCAAGTTTCAGAGTTTCAGAAATGAATATGAACTAAAGTAAAGTTTTGAATAAAATAAATTCAAATGTCTTAGTCTATGATAACCCAGTGAAGATTTCACGTACGCTCAGATTCTACATCATCTCCCACATGCTTGATTTCGCTATCATTTTCACCCTTCCACAGACTCAGATTCAAATTATCTCCACAAACGGCTATGTTGTTTGAATTTGCTTCAGGGAAACTTGTGTCCACACTGTAAGCAGGTATCTCACATTTAGAAACTCCCCTCCTTTCTGTGTAGCAAATCTCATCACTTTCAACCACAGAGAACGAACCCCTGTAACCAACAGGAAAAGCATTTGGAGAAGACCAAGTCTGTGATGAAGGTCCTTGGTTTTCATGTTCATAGTCAAGCACGTAATTTCCTGCAGAATCAGATAAACCAATTGAGCCCTTGGTCCCAGAATCTGACCTATCTGAGCAGAATTGGGGACCGACTAAAACTGAACCCACTGAAGTCATACTCTTTTTTCTTTTTCTTTTTTGTTTTTTTTTTTTTTTGGGGGGGGGGGGGGGGGGGGGGGGGGGGGGGGGGGGGGGGGGGGGGGGGGGGGGGGGGGGGGGGGGGGGGTTCAAATACTTGAGACCCTAATAAATAGGCGATCTAGTGTAAAATATTAACAACTATACTACATATTACATCAAATATTCAGATTTAAATAAAGAAAATGTCTATTTCTCATTATTGACAGACCAATTACAGTCAACAAGGACAATGAGCAATGACAAGAAAAAGGCACAAAAAGTTTATATACCATTTTGAAGCAGAAAATTATCATGGATACCAGATTCACCAGGTGAAACGTTTTGCAATGAAGAATCCGCAGGTCTACTCTGCAACATGATGTCCAGAAAATTAATATAAAAGGTCATAGCACACATGGAATCTGGGAATTCAAAGAGGTATAATGGATTGGATTCAAGTTAGACAATCCTTTTAAAGATATGTTCAAACAAAATATTTAAAAAGATTTTATCATATTTTACGAGAACATGAAGCAACAGAAGTTGTGACTTCCCAGCCTCCATGCAAAATGTTAACCCTATTTCTGTATAAGAACCAACACAATAAACATGGGAAATAAGGAATGATACCACACAAACTAGTTATAAAATATCCTTCAACATTACGATAAGGAATTAAAAAATGAAAGATGCAGAAAACTGTAACAATTTTCTTCATACAAATGGTACAAAAAAAAAAGGCATACAAATGTTCTAACTTTAAATGCCGAACTTTTTAAATCATACACAATCCTATGACAAAGACTCTCTGACTCGTTAAGTCACCAGCAGCAGTAGTTCCATGGAATTGTTCATCTTTTAAATATCAAAGATGGTTCTGGGGATGCGGGATTTAAAACTCAGGACCATCCAATTTTAGTGAAACTAGGGGGCTAGACTGATATGTCATTGTCATTTCCCAGTGAAAATAACTTGCAGAAGAAAAATTGAATGGATAAACAAAAATTTTCTTTAAAATAATGGCATTCGGTGTTCTACTTTAAAAAATAAATAAATAAATCACTTCAAAGCAGCGTACTCAATGTCCAAACCTTGGCATGAATTAATGTTCCTGAAATTTTAACAGAGTTGTAAATCTAGTGGTGAATTGCTTACTTAATAAAGATAGAAGTAGATAATACGCAAATTAACCAATAGTTTCTCCTATCTTTCTTCTAAACCGAAAAAAGTGTAACAAAAATAACATTGCAAGTACCACCTCACACCCTACATAATCAATGAAGAAAAGCATACAACGACCACCGAAGCATTACAAAGGTTAAATACTTGAATTCCACCACCCGATCGGAATTCACAATAACCTCCACTCACAGCATTGCAAATTTGGGAAGACAAATTCCAGTTTTCAACGAAGAAGAAGAAGCCGTACCTCGGAAGGATCGCGATCCTCATCAAGAACGCTCATAACCGTATCGAAATCAATAAAGAGGTTATCGTTATCATCAGCGTCCCCGACGTCCGCCAACAGTCTCTGGTAGTCGAATACCTCATCCGCCATCATCACAGAGAACCTAACAAGCTCAAACGCGTCAAAACCCTAACTCGCTTTTTTCTGAAGCCCAAAACGAAAACCTTCGGTTCTGATTCTCGAAATCGAAGAGCAATTCGTACAATCGCATTCTCTGCAGAGAACGGTACAAAAAGGTAGAGGGCGTGCGGTGCGAGCTCTTGAAGAATCAACGGAGGTTTCTAAGAAGGTTCGTGATGCGATTTTTCTTCGTCCCTTATTCGAAGGGAAAAAGAGAAAAAAGATAGAGATAGAAAGAGAAAGAGAGGACAGAGTCGTACGTACATCATGGAGTACGTTTAAATAGGGTTTGGGGTTCGTTATTGGGTAGGAGGTGTGCATCTTAAGAAACCGTGCGCCTCTTCCATGATTGGGTTGATATCCTGAATCAAGTTGTAGTGCGCGCGCGCGGATAACGGAGAATGAATACGTCACGTCTCTACGACGCCGTATTTATTCCCATGCCTTTTCGGTTTCCTACACCACTTAAGTTACCTATTGTTGACCTTTGCTGTGACTGACAGCTACTTGGAGTTGGATTCCTCACGCGACCTGCCACTGCATGCCTGCGTTACAAAATAAAATAAAAATAAGTTTCAAACCTTCAATTTGCAATTTTCTAATCTTTCGGTTTTATTACGAAGATATGTTTCACACTGAATTTTACCTGAATTTTTAATTCCATTATTGTATATTAAAGAACATTTAGATTAGGGTAAAGATTATGGGATCTCACCTTAATTTGTGTTTTAGTAATTATTGATCATTTACTATTTTATTTTCAGTTTTTAATTTAAATTATAAGAATTAATAGAAGATATCTGAGTGATTAATTTTTAATATAAAATTGTTAATTGATTGCTTGTTGAGTATATTTTTATTATTTAAATATATTTGTACTTGGGAATGTTTTGATTATGAAAATGAGATATGAGACGGTATTTTGTAAATACATAATTATCTTGAATATATTAACTATTTCTTTCTTTTCCGATCGCCTGGAAAGAACAAAAGAAACATCTTGTTCTTTCTTCAACAATTTCTGATCTCTAGTGGACCTCTCAGTAGGATTCGACCCCAGATGACGTTCTGACCATCTGTCAGAGAAAAAAGAACGGTTGGCTCTGTATCAATGGAATCTCATCATCCATACATAACGAATTGGTGTGGTAGGGCGCCCTCAAGATATGTTTTCGGATACCGCTATACAATTACAACCTATCTTTGCTCAATGGATACAAAATACACTACAAAAAAATAGGTATTTTGTGGAGGTCATATTTATAAATTGTGGCGGTCTTTGACCCCCACAAAAGATATTAGTGGCATCCAAAGTAACCTCCAGTTTTGCATGCGCCACAACACATTTGTGGGGGTTTTGTGTGCAACGCCACAATTTCTTGGAATATTTTCTGGAGGTTCCAGACCCCCACATATGTTACATTTTCTAGAGGTTACAAACCCTTCAGACTCCCACAAATATTGCACTTTCTGGAGGTTCCAGACCCCCACAAATATTATATTTCTAGGGGTTTATTGACCCCCATAATATTTATTGTGATTCACTAATTAAACATTATTTAATAATTTATAATTTTATTTGTCAAAAAGCACACGCTAATTAAACTTTTATTAATCACACGTTAACGAAGAAAAAGCCAACAAAAGTCGTGATTCCTGTGCATATCTAGAAGACAAGAACTTGACACCTTTCATAGATATATTTTATTGAAACTGATTGTACAAATACACACATTAGTTTACCTCAATGTGGATAGAGGAAAGAAGCTTTTCAATATAAATAGACCAAAAATTGCCTCTAAAGTCATAGCCACATTAGTTTTTCTTACAAAGTAATGGGATCGACGAGGAGAATCATCAAACAGAAACATTCATGACAGGTCATTAGTGAATCAAAAATAATATAGGTTGCTTCCTCATTTAAGGAGAGTCTTCACAATTGAGTCCACATTGCGTTTCTTGAGGTCAGTATAGGACTGTCCGCAGCCAACAAACATGACTGGAGCTCCAAATATGTAAACCATTGAAAGTGCAGCTCCCACCTGACAAAAGGAAACATCGACAGACCAATAAATATTCATCAAGAAGACCCAAATGCTCAGCCAAAATTTCAACTCTTTACAATTTTAGAACTTGCATACCTTATCATCAATAATGTCAAATTTAGTGAACAAGATATCCCATCTATCAATCTGGGTGTAGGAGATGTTGAGAGGTCAGCTAATTTCTGCAACAAAATAGATCGGTTCAATAACTGTGATATAGGGAAAGCAAGAGACAAAAAAAGACAAACTCTAATGCCCAAGGCTTCCCGACTAGTTAGGGTTAGTGAGGGTCAATTGTATGCAACCTGTAGAAAATCAGAATTCAAACATGTTTCCGTTTTTTTTTCCTATTAATTAGGATTGATTAGTCATCGCTTAGTCATTCTTAGCGATTTTTCCTTGTATAAATACTCACTCGTGTAATTTATTCAATATCAATATACAGAAACTTCTTTTCAATATAGTATCAGAGCGGGTTCGTTCCTACCCTAATTCAAAGCTGAAATAACCATCCAAACACTTCCATCACCGTCAAACACCTCCTAAACACCTCCTTGAATCTGTCCAACACAGAAACCTAGTCTACTGACCTCTGATCAAGAAAGTGAGGTGACCATTCGACTCAGAAGGATCCGAAGAGTCGACCGCCACTGGACCCATCGCCGTCAACCGCCGCACGCGCCGTCACACGCGCCGTCAGCCTCCGGTGCGTGAGCTCCACGCGCCGCCTTCCCGACGTCTTTTTCCGCCGCGACTTGCACAGACTTTCTCGCCGGCTTCTCCCCTTCCTGTTCCAGAGGTCAGATCAAAAATTTAAAAAAACTTGATTTTTCATCCACGGTCAACCCTTCTTTATCTATTCATGGCTTCCCCAAAACACTCTTCCGCCTCCTCATCTGCCCCAAATTCTCAGTCCTCTGGAGACAACTTAGGTTTGCAGATCACCAATCACCGGTTGAACGGTAAGAATTTTCTACACAACCATACCCTTGTACTTTTGCAAAGTGACCATTTCTCAGACTCGAACCCATGACCTACCAGTTACAAGAAACAACCTTACAGATACTCTTAGGGTCGCCCTTATATAAAGAAAGCAGAAATAAAAACACATGACATATTTATGATGATCAAGCAGTAAAAAAGGGGAAGAAATGCCCTTACTTGAAAAGGGTTTCAACAGATTTGGATGGACCAGCAAATAACCTTACGGATACTCTTAGGGTCGCCCTTATATAAAGAAAGCAGAAATAAAAACACAGGACATATTTATGATGATCGAGCAGTAAAAAAGGGGAAGAAATGCCCTTACTTGAAAAGGGTTTCAGCAGATTTGGATGGACCAGCAAATACAAATTTGCTCTTTGTCCTTTTCCTCTGTGTCAGGAAAGCACTGATCATCCTAGAAAAGGCAAGGTACCACCAAGGAACATTGACAAAATATCTGCGGAAACAAAAACCAAGAAATCACTTTTGAGAATACAAAGTTGCCAAAATTCCATCATCAAAATTAGAGTACAAGAAAATTGAAAAGGGGGTTAAGTTAGAAATAAGGGAACAAGTATGAACCTGCTTGGCAACGAACTCAGGGTAGTTATCCTGAAGCAATTGAAGGGCCTGATTGGTAGCCTGCCTCAGCTCCCTCTTGCCAAGTCCAGGAGAATTTCTAAGATCATTGACCTGGACAATGGTAGAGATACCAGTTGGACTGTATTCAAGATTTCTTACTTTCTTCTCCACCTGATGAACTTGTTGCGCTTCTCCTCATCAGAAAAGGTGTTGTTATACACCTTGGAGTTAAAATACGAACAAGTGCTTCTTCCATTGCCGCCTACATTCATGTCAATAGAACGCCTACATCAAATGTTAATAGGGTTAGGTGATAGAAACAAACATGCACACAACATATTTATTACCTTCCTTTCTCACAAATGCTGTTATAAAATTTTGAAAAAAGTGGGAAGGAAAATTATTAAAGGAATATATTGTCTTCTTTGTATCGTATCATTTAGATTTTTTAACCCTTAAAGAAAGAGCAAAATTCAAAATCAATTTTCTCAGTGACAATTTTATTTTTATAAAGTCAAGTGTACCATACATCACCCTGCGGATTGTAAAACACTGTATATGGAAAGATAATGAGAAGGATATAATAGTAGGAAATGCAATTTGGTTATAACTTTAGGTAAATTTGAATGGCAAATAAGAATTTGAGCATAAAAATTGGGAGAAACTTCCAAATGTATGACTTCCTAAAATTTTGACGGACAATTGAAAACCCATGATCCAATTTAATCCATTTAGCACACGGATAACAAAATATGAATACAATTTTGGTTAATATGTAATATATAAAACAGACAATGCTATTGAAACTTGAAATAATATCTGATTCATAAGGGGCTGCTTCCATAAAGACCCCGGAAGAAGCAAGCTTCCCCAAGATTGAATTATCCCTCAAAATCATACTTTATTGCATGATCCCCACTTCACCAAAACCCAAATCAAGTCAAAGTTGCTCCAAACCTATAGGTGCTACTGCTGCCATCAACCAATAGCAAGAAATACTCACTTTCAAGAGCCTAACCACTATAATCTTCATTCTTCATATTCATGCTACATTAAGAAGTATATTTTAAACAGAGCATGAAAAAAGTTAACTATTTATTCAAGTGTAGGCTACTGCATACAGTGAAAAAAAATGCAAGTACTTGCACTGATTAATATGATATAATAGCAAAAATTATATCATAGGCTCTAAATTGGAAGACAGAATTAGACTGCAAATCTATTTGATAGAATAGTTGTAAGGATTAATATGATATACCAAGAACCTTTTTGATGTGTAGTATATCTCGATAAATGTGATCCCCAACATACAAAATCTACATATAAAGCGTTTAGATTTTTAGAGGAAGCTTCAGTATAGCTAAAACAACATAAGGAAGGACCAAAGTAAACAGTTGGAAAGTCTCTTAATTCCATGCACCAGAATTTGTGCATTAAAGAAATCAAAGGGTCATAATTTGACAATATATGGGAATATTCACATTAGGTAGAATAATGAAGCCAAACAAATATAACTAGGCGTATACACTAAGAGAAGAACATCAGAGATGTAAGAAATGTAAGAAGAACAACACAATAATGATCCAGGTCCACAGAACACTGCAAAAAAATATACAGTTTCCTGCCTCGGATCACTTTCTTCAAGTAAGAAATGTAAGAAGCTAATGATCTAATATGGAGCAATTGGTTATTTGAAGAAACTTACAGAGATGGACATTCCAGTAGCTAAAAAGCTACATGAGCGATTGGAAAGAGGGAAACTGAGAAGTTTATTTAGCCGAGGTGAAGCCTCATACCCAACCCAATCCTCATGCACTACTATTTGTGCGCTAATATCAGTTATTGTTTGTTGCCATTTTGTGCTCTTAGGAAGCTAATGTTAGTGCCATCATAGATCTGTTGATTTCGAGCTATCTCTGGCAGGAGATTTCCTGAGACATTCTAACGGAAATTTCGTCAAACAGTTGATGTGCAAAAATAGAGCCAGCCTCCAAAGCAAAATCTTACCAAGGGAAAATGGAAGTTGAATTCAGTAGTGAGTAGAGAACAAAGAAAGTGGCGATGGCTTTGAATTTAGAAGTAACAAACCTTTCTCCAAGCATATCGTGATCAAAACAAAAGGTTTTGAATTGCAACTTCAACAAAGTCACGATCGCAGCGACTAAGACGTACCAAGCTTGAACCGAAGAAAATAGGAACAAGAAAGCATTAGAAATTAATCTGAGCTCTGAAGCTTCACTTATAACAGTTTAAGAATTAGGAAAGCTAACAAAAACTGGAAACACAACGTGGCGGTCTCTGAAAACGCCACAATATACATAATTAGTGGAGGTTTTATTAATCTCCAGAAAATAACCTCCACAAATAGCATATTTTTTTGTAGTGATACACACACCTTAGCGCCAGGCACAACTGCCCCTGGTGCAACAACAAGCACCAGTTTGACTTGGGGGGGGGGTGGTGATTTAGTGGCAGTAGGCGGCAAAGTTGCTTTGTTACCTATTCCATTAGGAACTGCGGATTTTTTGGTCCATCATATTCATGCATTTACAATTCATGTGACGGTATTGATACTACTAAAGGGTGTTCTATTTGCTCGTAGCTCGCGATTGATACCGGATAAAGCAAATCTTGGTTTTCGTTTCCCTTGTGATGGACCCGGAAGAGGGGGGACATGTCAAGTCGTAGCTTAGAATGTACATGTAGGAGTGTTAACGCATCGAGTCGAGTCGAGCTTTACTCTTAAAATGTTAAGTCTGTGTTTAAATGTGTCAACCTGATCAAGCCTGTTACCTGTTATAAATATAATTATTGGCCTGTGACCTGGTTATTTACAAAAAAAGTAAAGTCTGACTTAGCCTGTTAGCCTGTTTTAAAATAACGACAATAAAAATTAATCCAAACATAATATATAATCAACAATACTAGTAATTCCATAAATATTCATAAATTCAAGGTATATCCAAACAGCATAATATAGAACAAAATCATTCAAAAACTCTGTTTAACCAATAAAATTGGATGAAATGGATTGAGGAGAAAGAGAAGGCTATTACAAGTAGTATAAAAAAATAATAATAATATAATATGCCGGCCTGAGAGGCTCTAAGGCCGAGCTTTTGAATTAGAGCCTGAGAACTTTTCATTAAACGAGCTTTTATACAAGTTCAAGTCTGGTGCCAACAACCAATTTTAGACATGTAAGCTCAGGTCTTCACGAGCCGAGCCAAAGGCCCCTGGCTCATTTAGCACCCCTAGGAGCAAGTCAAGGATAAAAATATCTAAACTCATCCCAAATGTGGCGTGTAAGGATTAAATCGAAGCTCTTTCATTTTCACTTACACGGATCTTTTACTACTAATTAAGTTACCACAATTTGGCAGAATTCACATTTTTATTGGTGAAATAGAAGTTGACCTTTTCTTTTAATTGGTTAATGAATTGTGTTATGGGCCTATATAAGAAGCCTATGATATAACTGAAGGAAATTAATAATGGGAAATAGAAAGGGAAAATTAATAATGGACAATAGAAAGAGGAAATTAATATAACTAAAAATCTAATATATTAATCTTAATACGACAGCAATGAAATTGGATATAAGTTTATTAAGAATGCATCAAAGGTTCAGAATTTTATTATCCAAAGATAAATCTTTTAAACAAGAGATAAAATCTATAACTATGGACACTTATTACTATTATACTTTCGCTGTACACATACTACTATACAATTAGCTGACAAAAGATAATCCAGAAAGGATGGAGGATAGATGATGACGTCCAAGTGAGTAGGTGATAACTCAATTTTGGCAAGGAAAAAAAAGTAATACATATATTGAATTTAGGATGTGGTTTGTTAAAAATATTTTCTTGTTTATAAATATTTATAAAGCTAAGTGAAGAAAGAAATACCATCCACCGACTTTTATCAAGGTAGTGAACCGTCGTTTTCCCATTAAGATTCCAAAACTTTGGCATGTCTTACACGTTTTGCTTCGCATCTTGTCAATTGTTTGAAATATTCATGAAAACAACACGAGCTAATTGAATAGTGTAAAAAAAACACTATAATTAAATAGAAACCAGATTTAATTTGATTACAATTATTAACTTGTATGTACTACCCTTGGAAGCATTGATTGTATTTTTTAAGACGATTTTGAGGTTTTGGTATGGTAGTCAGCTGAGGACAGGACGAGTTATGATAGTTTCCACCATATATACAATTGAAAAATGTGGTGTGTGATCTACTAGGCTTGTTGAGAGGAGAAGATTATATGAATGCAATTTCATGACAATGCATGCTGGTGTTTTAATATGTGGAGAAGTGGAGAAATTGTTTAATAATGGAGATTAGTATCTCCAGCTTCGAGTTATATATACAAGTGTAGGTGCTACTTACCTTATTTTCCCACTTGTAACTCAGTAGTTGTTTCCAGGAAGACCAATGACGTGTGACAGATGTTAACCGCGTTCGTATCTGGGGGATTCAGTAGCTATTTAGTTTGGGCATCAGTTTTAAATGGTGCAAGACAATGAAAATGTAATATAAGATACACATGTCACAGGAAATTTTGGATGTCACTGTCATATTTTGTCATTCTGGAACACATTCTAGTGGGATTTCTGGAACAAATTTTCTTCAGCGACAACAGAAATACATTTGCTAATAACTAAATGTTTTACATTAAACATAGGGCTTAACATCTCTCTTGTTGCACGAGATATTGAAATTTTCTAGGAGAAACAAAATTTGGTGGAACCCACAAACTTTTGAAAATAAAAAAAATAAAAAATAAAAGCACGAAATTCGAGCTAACACAACAGGAGAAGTGCACTTAACCATATGGCTAAGGTGTAAGATAAAACATGATTTTTCCACTAATTCCGCAGCCCCTTTTATCTTGATAATGTACACAGTTCAATTATTCTCTTTGTTAGTTAGGTTTGAAGGCCGGTCTAATTTTAAAAATAGGAATAATATCTATCCTTTTAAAGGATATAAATTTATATCTTTTTAGATCTTAATCGTTGATTTTCGTCCATCAACGGTTATAATTTATTGGATTAAAATTATTAATCAATTAATAATAAATTTGACCCATTAAGTTTGGCCCAATATATTATAACTGTTGATGTACGGAAATCAACGGTTAGGATCTAAAAGTATAGACTTATATCCTTTAAAAGTATAGATATTTTTCCCTTAAAAAATATGACTTTATTATATGGGTTTTATAATTCTCATTCAGCATGAGAATTTAAATCTTCATACACACCCTTAGATTTTCGTGCTAATGTGAGTCTTAGGGGTACTAAACAAACCACAGGACTTTGGCTCGGCTCGTGAAAGCATGAACTTACATGTCTAAAATTAGTTGTTGGCACCAAGCTTGAACTTGTATAAAAGCTCGTTTCATAAAAAGGCCTCAGGCTCCAATTCAAAAGCTCAGCCTTAGAGCCTCTCAAGCTGGCCTAATATATTATTTTTAATTTATATTTTATATTTTTTATACTACTTGTAATAACCTTCTCTTTCTTCTCAATCAATTTCACCTTATTTTATTGGCTAAACAGACTTTTTGAATGATTTTGTTCAATATTATGTTGTTTGGATATACATTGAATTTATTAATATTTAAGAAATTACTAGTATTGTTGATTGTATATTCGGTTTAGATAAATTTTTCTTGTCTTATTTTCTAAAACATGCTAAATCAGACTTTTATTTTTTGTAAATAAGTTAGACTACAAGTCGATAATTATATTGGCTTGGTCGGGCTGACATATTTAAACACATGCTTAGTCTTGGCTCGGCCCATTAACATCCCTAGTGGGTCTTACAAATAATTTTTCTAACATATAGATCTCACATGCTATTTGTCTCTATAACATAAGATTTCAATTCTCATATAACTTGAGAATTATAAAACCCTTATTATATACATAAAAACATATATCTGTTTTTAAGAAAATAAACCACGTGCAACTTAATTCTTGATATTCATATATAAAAAATTAAGAAAAAATGTTTGTCATTTTTAATGACATAAAGTTATGTCATTTTAAGAGAGATAGACACATTAATTTTTTTTCCACAATTTAAATTAAAAAAAAAATTACCCATTTTCTCTCTCCTATGATTTTCATTTGTTGTGTCTATCTCTCTATTAAAATGACATAACTTATGTCATTTAAAATGACAAACACCAAACCCATAAAATTAATAGCTATCTCGTGTGTGTTTCTAAATTTAGGTTAAATTTAAAAAAAAAATTAAATAAAAATATTCAATAAACATTTAAAATTATAAAAGATGTATACATGATTAATTTAAGGAAAATCTATAAGTTATTGATTAAAGGAGAAAAATCAAAATTGCAAAGAACATATACATCACTAACTGAAATTAAGGTTATGGATTTAAAATTTGAAATAAAAGAAGTTAATACTTAATTGTTTTTGACTTAATGAATATGTTTCAAATATAAAATAATTTATTTTATTATTTCTTGTGCAAATTATTACGTTAATTAATAACATTAATAAAGTCAATCTCATAAAATCAAGGGGCATTCCTCACGTTAGCTTAACATATTTAAAAATGAAAGGAAATAACCAAAGTTTAACAAGAGAATGAAAAAAGGGCAGTTTTCTTTTTCACGCATAAAATCAATTTTCATGGCATATATTTTATATAATTTTACTATATATATAATTTTATAAATAATAAGTTCACATCATTGTTATTAAAATATTAAGTATCCATGAAATTTATAATTAATAACATAATTAATTATATCTTAAATAATATGACAGTTACCAGAAGCTTAATCCTCAGCTTTAAGATTGGTGAGCGATGAGTGAGAGAGAGAAAGGTGATCATGGGAAGAATCCTGGCAAATCAAGTGAAGAACTTGACATTCTTCAAAGAAGTAATAAGAGGAATAAAGGTGAGGGAGATCAGTTTTCAAATGATGTATCTATGATACCTAGACATGAAGGTTGGATGGAAGATGAGAATGGCCAACGTTCAACCTGGAGGGAAATTCTGATGCGTCATAATGGAGAAGATGATGAATGGGAAGGAGAGGCGTCTGCCGAGGAAGACTTAGATGGGGAGGAACCTGCTGAGGAAGAGGATGTCAACCATGGAGGAATTAAGATGTGGGAGGAAGATGATGGGCGTACTTATTTTAGTTGCACCAAAAGAGCAAGGAAGAGAATGAGGAAACCTTGGGAGAAAGCTCTGATTGTTAAACTCCTTGGGAAGAAAATTGGGGTGGAGTTTATGAAGAAAAAAATAAATGTCTTATGGGCTAGAAAAGGCAAAATCAATGTCACTGATATTGGTAATGACTTTTTCGTAGTCCAGTTTAGTGAGAAGGATGATCTCAATTTTGCGTTGAACGGTGGTCCATGGATTGTTTTGGGTCATTATTTATCGTTGAGGAAGTGGGAACCAACTTTCATACCTAATAATGCTGGAATTGCTAAGATTGCTGCTTGGATTCGTCTACCGGATATTCCCATTGAATTCTATGATGAAGCTTTTTTTAGAAGGATTGGAAACTGGTTAGGCAAGATGATCAAGGTAGACAGCAATACAAATGCTCATGTAAGAGGACGGTTTGCAAGAATATGTGTGGAACT